GCCGAGCCTCTGTGTAAGATTCTTGACCTCCCGTGATTCTCTTTTATTTTGTATCCTCTCTGCTTACTGTAGGTTTAGTATCCCTGAAGGTTGAGATTATTTTCTGTGCTGGGGGAAGTAGGAGACAGAGTTTGGACTTGGTTTATTGATGTTCCTCCTTTTCTTTCTTTAGACTTCCATGGAGTCTCTGATCCATCACTTTAAGCTGTATACAGAGGGCTACCAAGTTCCTCCAGGAGCCACATATACTGCCATCGAGGCTCCTAAGGTGAGGAGAGGAGGGGAGGAAAAGACTGTATATGAAGTAACTGTGGAGAGATGTTTAACAAAATCCTCATTGATCAATGAGACAGAGGACAGCAGGGCATGAATAGAGAGGTTATGTTTTCTTGGTAGAGAAAAATGTTCTTCCTATTAGTGGAGTTACTGAACCTTCTTCCTTGGACAGGGAGAGTTTGGGGTATACCTGGTATCTGATGGCAGCAGCCGCCCTTATCGATGCAAGATCAAGGCTCCTGGTTTTGCCCACCTGGTAAGAGCCAATACCAATAATTAACACCAGTAAATTAATCCAGTAATTTCTTGACCTTGGTTGAGATTCTTATGAACTCTCTTTCCTTCAATTTCCACATGAGATATCTTACCTAACACTCTTGCCATCTCAATCTCCTCAGGCTGGTTTGGACAAGATGTCTAAGGGACACATGTTGGCGGATGTTGTTGCCATCATAGGTATGAAGCCTGTTGTGTAGTAGCTGTGTTCTAGACAAGAGGTTTGGGACTCTCAGTGGGGATGGGAACCGACCGCTTCCTGTTCAGCAGTATAGGGTGTGGGCACAGACTCAAGCCCTCAATCACCTGAGTAACAAGTTCTGTCCCTTTGATAACACCACTTTTTTCCTCCATCTCTGACCTCATAGGTACTCAAGATATCGTGTTCGGAGAAGTAGATCGATGAGCATAAAAACAGCATTTGATCTCCATTGCCTATCAGCTTCTTCTGTGGAGCCTGTCCCTCATTGGATATGGGGCTGAGCGTGTGTATGTGTGTGTGTACATGTATATGTACACTTAGCTGTTGAGCTTTCTGTGCATGTACCCGAAAAGGAGAAACTACAATAAATTAGCCGTCCTGCGGCCCCTAGGCCCAAACTTCTGATATGTTTTTCTCAGTGTCTTGTCCTTCACTTTATTGGGAAACTTAGCAGTATTAACCCTCCGCTTCTTTGTTGTGTAGGCTCGGGGCTCAGCGGTTGTTGCTGCTCATCTCTGCTGCCTTCTGTGACTCATGTTCTTCCCTCTTCTCCATTCCCCATTTCTTCTTTTCCCGTCAGTTTTCCCCTGCCCAGACCTTCTCAGTGCCCATACAAATTGGTAAACAGCTCAAATGAAGTTCCAGGTGAGAGGGAAAGACTATAGCGGCATCCGAGGGAAACTCAAGGGGCAGTTAGTCACAGATGTATTTCTAAATGGGATAAAGTGAAAAATGGTGATGTACACAGCCTTTCCCAAGCGTGAGAGTCTCTTCATTCTGTGAGTTAGGGCTTGGCCATCGAAGGGCTGAGGCTTTTGGGCCCAGATCTTCCAGCTCCCCTAGTTGGCCCTTCCGGGAGCCGCCTGGTGTCTATTGCAGGAAGGGGAAGGGGCCAAAGCGTGGGGGAAGGCGTGGCAGGAAGGGGGGAACTCTGTGGTCAGGGAACTCGCTGAGCACAGCTGCGCAGCGCTGCCGGAGCGCCTGATCCCCAGCCCAAGATGATTCCAGTACTGGTCTTGCTCTTACTCCTCTTGGTTGAACAAGCAGGTAAGAGGGTTTGCTGAAGGAGAGTGAGCTGGCTCCAGGGTGCAAAGGGCCAAGTGAGGGACAGTCAAAAGAAGGCTGACAGTGGCAGGTGGACATAGGGCTGGGACAGACACAGACCCTGACGCAGGAACTATCCAGCCCACACTCGGCACTAGAGTCTAGCTCCTTGTTACTTTCCTGTCTTATTCACTTGGGATTAATAGGAAGAATTTGGCAGGGGGAAGGAGATGGCTGTGTGGTATGAAGAGCTGGGCTGAGGACAAGCTCTAGTTGCCATGATCAGCATTTCGTGGGTGATCGTAATCTTGTCCGCTGGGAGCCAATGTGTAGCTGCTTATAAAGTCCCCTTTAGGAAGGCAAAGATCTGCTCTTGTGCTTGGGAGTAAGGCTGGGGTAGTCAAGATAAATAGACGTGATTGCTGTTTCTATGGGTCATTGCTAATGTATTGCTCTGTCAAACAGTTGACATGGGAGTGGGCAACGTGAGTTGCCCGGTTCTAGAGACCTAAGCCTCAGTTGAGAAATAGAGACAGAAATGGGAAGATCCCAGCAGCTCTAAGGCTCCAGTCAATGTTAAGAGCTAGCATTTCTTTTCTTTTTTTTTTTGAGACAAGAGTCTCATTGTGTTGCATCACAGCTCACAGCAACCTCCAACTCAATTCCCTTGCCTGAGCCTCCCAAGTAGCTGGGACTACAGGTGCCCACCACAACAGCCAGCTATTTTTTTGGTTGCAGTTGTCATTGTTTAGCTGGCCTGGGCCGGGTTTGAGCCTACCACCCTTGGTGCATATGGCGGGCGCCATAACCACTGTGCTACAGGTGCCAAGCCACAACTAGCATTTCTTATTCACTTCAGTTTGTCTATGCTGGAAGGGTATCTGTGTGCATGTGTGTTGAAGAGAGTTGATGGCAGCTGGGTTTCGGGGAGGAGGAGGTTAGTAAACTTCAAGGAAACTAGAGTACATAGAAGAGAATGGCTGGGGCCCAGTTCCGCCAGCCCAGCCAAGAAGGGAGGGAAGGATTAAGTTGGTCTATTGCTATGACATGAGGACCGAGCAGGGCCACTGAGGCATAAAAGCACAGGCTTTGGAGGCAGAAAGTCTGGATTTGAGTTCCAGCTCTGTCACTTAAACTCTGTGGCCCTAATGAGTTACTTAGCTTTTCCGAGCCTTGGTGTCATCATACCTAAAATGGCGAAGATGATGTTTCCCTCACAGGTCAGTTTTAAGATTTATGCAATAGCATGTATGTGAAAGTGTTGTAGAATGAAAAGCACTTTACCAATGTCAGTACTTGACCAATGTTAGTTACATGTATCCTGTTGGTCCTTACGATAGGGGCCAAGAGCAGCCCCGGCTAAAGTAGAATAATAGCTCACAGCAACCTCAAACTCCTAGGCTCAAGTGGTCCTCCTGCCTCAACCTCCTGAATAATTGGGACTACAGGTACCTGCCACAATGCCCAGCTAATTTTATTTATTTATTTATTTAGACAGTTTTACTTTGTTGTCCTCGGTAGAGTGCTATGGTGTCACAGCTCACAGCAACCTCAAACTTTTGGGCTTAAGCGATTCCCTTGCCTTAGCCTCCCAAGTAGCTGGGACTATAATCACCTGCCACAACGCCCAGCTATTTTTTAGAGATGGGGTCTTCGTCTTGCTCTGGCTGGTCTTGAACTCCTGAGCTCAGGTGATCCACTGCCTCAGCCTCCCAAGTGCTAGGATTATAGGTATTAGCCACTGCACCTGGCTAATTTTTTTACTTTTTATAGAGATGTGGTCTCACTGTTGCTCAGGCTGGTCTCAGGTGATTCTCTGGCCTTAGGCTCCTAAAGTGCTAGGATTACAGGAGTGAACCACTGCGCCTGGCCTGATTTTTTGAATTTCACAAAACTTCTCTCAGAGACTCAGAGTGAATAACATGCAGTGTAGTGGGAGTTAGAATCCATACAGTTTGTGGTTGTTCCCTTGAGCCTGTGGCCATTCCCTAGCTTTGTGTGCAGGACCACTGGTATCTATAAGGCCTAGGAAAATGGACACTTTGTTGTTGTTGTTTTTAGCATATTTAAGTGTCTTGTGATGGGACAGAAAGCAATGAAGCTGAGGCGAGGAGATGACCAATGATAGAGTAATTGTCTTCCCTCCCTTCCCCAGCTCACATCCTTCCTGTCCAGCCCTCAGCCACAGGTCACAGGACTTAGTAGAGACACTTCTGTGGTTTCTTCACTGAAATTTGCCACTGCCTGTCCGTGCACCTCCCCCTTTGGGCTGAGGTTTTGGTCTCAGCCCAGTGGACTCAGATAGGCCCCTTGAGGCAAATAAAGTGCTCAATGGTGCCTGAGGAACCCACAGTGCTAAAAAGAAAAGTTGGGGGTTGACGGAAAAGTCCTCAACTTTTAGTCCATCACAATAGTCCATCCCAGTGGAATCCTTCATACTTCCTATCCTAAGAGAGGTAAGAGAAAAAGGAGTCCAGGGAGAAAGAGTCCAGTTTCTTCTCCTAGAGGCCCTGTACTGCCTCGCAGAGCCCCTTCCCTTCTCTCCGCTAAGCACCAGATCCTCCCTGATCCCCTCACCCCATGTCCACCCTCTGTCCTCTCAGAGGCTTTGGCCGAACCTCAGCTCTGCTATATCCTGGATGCCATCCTGTTCTTGTATGGTATCGTCCTCACCCTGCTCTACTGTCGACTGAAGGTAAGGCCAGGCAGGCGGTGCAAGGGCTGGGAGAGGAAGTGGGAGGGTGGCAGCAGCATGGATTGGAGGAAAGGGAATAAAAGGGGATCCCCCACAAAATTTGATGGGAAGGGGGATGGGCCACTAACTTCCTCTTTACTGCTAACATTTCTCCCACTCCAGATCCAAGTGAGAAAGGCAGCGATAGCCAGCTATGAGGTATGGGCCCTCCCACTCCTGGGCGTTGACACTTTTACAGACTCTCAGCCCTCTTAGGGCTTTAGCCTGGGTTCCAGGCCTGGCCTCTGGGAGGGCATGCCCCTCAGGTGCTCATCTCAGAGAACCCTCCACCTCACCCCCCCCCACTCTATCACCTAGCCAAGCCACAAGTAAAATATTCAGCAGGTGATGGAAAAATCAAGCATAATGTGACATTGAGGGCGTGAGAGACTGTGTGTTGTGGGTTGTATACACACGTGTTTGTAGCCATGTGGCAAATGTGTATTCATGTCCCAGAGCATTCTTGTGAGTGCTTTTTAGCCCAAGGCGGCTAGCTACCCCCAGCTTGTTACCTCCTTGGGTGGGGAAATGCTGAGGGGCCTGAAGGAGGTGTGGGTGTCTAATGCCTTGCCTGTTTCATCTCTGCAGAAATCAGATGGCGTTTACACGGTAAGTGAACCTGCTTCCCCCAACCAGGATGTCAGCAGAAAAGGGTGGGATTTTGAATGATCTTTGGAAGAGGTCGGATCTGTGGAGGTGGGATGGGGCCTGCAATGGGCTCAAGCTCCTGATCATCCTTTGATTGCCACCTGCAGGGCCTGAGCACCCGGAACCAGGAGACTTATGAGACCCTGAAGCACGAGAAACCACCACAGTAGCTTTAGAATAGATGTGGTCACGTCCTCCTTCAGCTTCTAGTTTTCCTCCTAGCCCTTGTGGCAGGCATCACATATGCCTCCATGGCATCAATGCCAGCTGACCCTACCCTATAATGATTCCATGCCCCAGTTAATATACACCACTAGTTCCTCCTTCCTGTCAGAGACTAATACTCAGATGCTATTTATGGATGTTTATATTCTAGTCTCACTTCCTTGTCCTACTCTTCTTCTCTTCCTCATCTCTGACTCCCACTAGATAGCTGCTACAAGGGAGCGCTCTCAATAAAGCTGCCACAGACTGGACTCCATTTATTCACTTATCCTTTATTTATTCAACCTCTGCCAAGCACTTGGCTGAATACGGTTTTCTTCCTGACCTCACAGAATTCACTGTCTAATGGATTTCAGGGCTATTTTGCTGACTGTGTCTGGAGGAGGGATGAGACCTTTGACCCTTAGGTGCTCTCGGCTGGACCTGAAGCAAGGAGTAATGTGTGGGGAGTCTAGGTACAGCCTGAGACATTAGACCTCAGAAATGGCTTCTGCAGCCAGCATGGCCTTCTGTGTCTGGCAGTTGAACCATGGTTGTGTTGTGGAGCAGCCTGGCTGTCCAGCTCCAAATAATTGTCAATCTGGACAGTACCAATTCAGTACATGCACATGGAATTAGCTGAAAAGCAAAAAAATGCAAAAAGGATGATGTGACCAGGGCCATGTCTAGCTCCAAATGGCAGGTGTTACGGGAACAGTGAGTTTTCAGTGGGTTCTGGAGCAAGAGGGATCTTAGAAAGCCAGATAGGGTTAGTGGTGGGTAGGGCATGGGGTTAGTCAGGTCTAGATGGGAGGTCACCTCCCCCTAGTGAATGAATGATGGTGAAGGAAGCCCCCTTTCAGTGGGTGTCTTGTTTCCAAAGCTGCCAGGAAGCTGTGCCTGGAATTATTTAAATCTCATTACGTGCTGTCAGTGCTACCTCTGCCCCGCAGTACTTTCAGAGTGGGTCTAGAGTCCTCAAGCTTGCCCTGGAGCCCCTTATGGTGGGCAATACTTTGTACTGCACAGTGGCTTGTACTTTTCAAAGTGTTTCCCAGCTCATTGTACCATTTGATCCCCTTACTAATCCTGCAAAAAAATTCATGCTCTTCAAAGTTAATTAACTTGTCCAAGGTCACCTTGCAAGCAACTAACAGATCTCTTTGTCCCTGCATGTTTTGCCACATAAGAAAAGAAACAGATATTCAGAAAGAGAAGGGGAGATGAGTAATCATGAATGGTGAGACTCTAGAAGGCCAGAAGAAGGAGGCTGATCAAATATGTAGAAGAAATTGGAGCCATCTCCAGTGTCTGAGAAGAAATGTGATTTTAGATGAGATATGAGGAATGAACCAGAGTAGGGAAATTACTCTCTTTTTTAGAGATGGGAATCTCACTATATTTCCCAGGCTGGTCTCAAAACTTCTGGAATCAATCAATGCTCCCATCTCAGCTTCCCAGGTAGCTGGGATTACAGTCATATGCCACTGTGCCTGGTTTAAGGAAGTAACTCAAAGATAAAGAAGTGATAAACTTTGCCTGGAAAATGCCCCATTTTCCCTTCCCCTCCATTATGGGATTGTGATCTGTCCCCATCAACCTACCCTGGTTTTTATTCCATTTTGATTTAATCTAGATATCAGAGCTCCCAGTTTTTCTAGTCTTAACATGTCCACCAACTTGGATACCTGTCAGGCCTTTGAATGTCTGCCATGGCTACTAGTTCAGGTTCAAAGATGCCTGCCAGGCTGGTTCTATGAACAGCACCTAGATAGTGGGTGGAGAGAGGCTGGGAATGAGTCTTCCCCAGACAGTATCCAGGTGAGAGGTTTGGAATGTAGGAATCAGAGCACCTTGGGGAAGAAGAGTGAACTGAGGCCTTTTCTTTTATTATGGGATGGGGTGAAACAGTTTTGCCTTAGCTCAGAAGGAAGGGAGGGTCTTGGGTGACACTTCTGGTTTCTTTTTTTGGAAGCTTTCTCCTTTTCGTAGAACGATTAAGAGGAAATTCTGAGGGGCACCCTCATTTCCTAGGGACTCTCTTAACAAATCCTCCATTACTTTCACAGTTCCACATTCCATGCAAAGGCTCTCTAGTGCTCCACTGCAGAGCCATTCCCAGGCCTACAGGAGATTCCTTGGGTTTGGAAAAGAATCATGGCACCCCCTCCCTGTCATTTCCATCATTTGTCTCTTCATCGCTTTCTCCACCTCTCCACACCCAAATCTCTCTCCTTTTAGAAGCACATTTCTCTTTTTCCTTCCTCCTCCTCCTCCCCCACTCCCTTGCTTTTCGTAGTCCCCGCCCCAGACACACAGGCTCACAGCTTGACTCCTGCAGCATTTATTGTAGCAAATGGGGGCAAACAGAGGGAGGGGCTCTAGGCCTGGCCAGCGGGTGTTCTAGAGGCCATCTGGGGCCAGAAGACAATGGTCTGGACAAATCACTAGGCAGAAGATTGTGTTCCAAAGTCCACGAAATAGTTGAAGAAGTTAACTAGATCAGTTCCAGCTTTCTTGACCAGGGGTGTCAGCTGCTCTTTTGACTTTGCAAAGTAAGCCCTGGATAGGTGAAGAATTAGAGGTCAGTATGAGAGATCCTAGGCACTGGCAGGGACCTTGGTAGTGGTGGGGTGTCAGAGCAGACTGACCCAGGTTCCCAAACTATAGTGCCTGCTCCACCCTGGGATGGCAAAGCCCCTGGATAGGAGAGGTGAGTCCTCCACTGGACACAGGAACAGACCCCAGAGACTGAGATTCAAGGCCCAGTTCCCACCCACTGTTCCTATCTGTCCAAGAGGTATATGGGATCTTTGGGTGATAAAGAATTTTTTCTGGCTCGGCGCCTGTGGCTCAAGCGGCTAAGGCGCCAGCCACATACACCTAAGGTGGTGGGTTCGAATCCCCAGCCCAGGCCGCCAAACAACAATGATGGCTGCAACCAAAAAATGGCCAGGTGCTATGGTGGGCGCCTGTGGTCCCAGCTGCTTGGGAGGCTGAGGCAGGAGACTCGCTTGAGCCCAGGAGTTGGAGGTTGCTGTGAGCGTGATGCCATGGCACTCTACCCAGGGGTATAGCTTGAGGCTCTGTCTCAAAAAAAAAAAAAAAAGAATTTTTTCTCTCCAATGTAAGCCTAATCCTCTAACCTTTGCCTCTGAGCAAAGTGTTTTGTGGGCCTTCTGTCTTTCCTTCTTTCCCTCCACAGTCCCACAGCCCCTGAACTCTTTTCCCTGAAACTTACTCAGCTTGGGCCTGAAGCTCTGGGGTCTTGACCTTCTCCACCAGGTCCTTGCCATAGTCAGCCATGGTCTGGAAGTACTGAGAGAACAGGCTCTGCAGACTTGACTCTTCTGCCTGTCTCCGAACCAAAGCTCCTGCGTGCATGTGCACACACACACACACATACTTTTCAGCTCATTCCACAGCAATGAATCTTCGCCTTTGGTCACTTCTCTGTCAGTAACCCACCCTAGCTCTTAGCCCCCTCCCTAAAAAGATATCCAACTAGATCTTTGGATGGATTTTCTGTGCTTTAGAGAGGAAATTATCTTCTTTTTGAGCCCTCAGTTTGCCAAACTTGGGCACAAGAACAAATGGGTAGCTATGACCCCCTGCACCTTCCCCTTTTGGGCCCCTCTCTCTATATCTTACCCACCTTCAAGGCTATAGATGGTAAGGAGCAGCACAGTCATTGCAAGCAGCTTCATAATGGTGACAGTAAGGAAGGCAGCCTAGGATCAAAGCTGATGGGGTTAGGGGAGACACTGAAGCCAAATGGACTCCAGCCCCTCCCCAGGGATCTTTCTACGTACGTGCCCCCTCCAACTTGGTTCCCTCCCTTTCCACAATTAAAGTCTAGTCCTCTTTGGATGCTGCCCACACCTCTTACTCCCTTATCTTACCTAGTCAGTGTCTCCGTCCTTGGTGTCTGTTCCTGGCCTGGCTGGAGAGGTAGGAGCTATATACCTATCTGCTTACCCACCCCGTCAGGTGACAGGGTCTGTGGGTGGGCCTAGAAGAGCAGGAGCCATGTTGGAATAAACAAATTGGAGGAATGGGGGAGGAGAGGACAAGCATAAGGCGAGCTCTGCCTTGGGGTGAGAGGCAGGTAGTACAGGTCTTTGTGGGAGCCAAACTGGTATACTTAATAGCCAAACAGGTCTATTAAGGATCCATTCTCTTGGGATCTGGGGCAAGTAGTCTTTGGATCTGAATGCAGTGGGAAGCAGGATTCCTAGTTATTTCTCCAGAAAGCTCTGATATATCGAATTCTCAGTTCTTGGTATCTTTATCCCATTATGGGTAGATTTCATCTCCCCAATCCTACCCCAGTTCACTACAACTTGGCAAGGAGGTATTGGGGTATAGAAGAAAGGAGAAAGAAGTTGAAATCAGGGGCAGCAGTGAGGGGAATGAGGGTTAGGGGAATGAAAGTGAGGATTGGGGGCAGAAGTGATTGACTCTGTCCCGCTTTGAGTTAATGTGTAATGAGATACAAGAAGATAACATGAGAGCCCAGAATGACCCTAGTGCTGATCAATGAGCGCACCCTTCCACTTCTACCCTCCCCCTTCAGACTGGAGGGGTCTGGCAGGAAAAGAGGTGAATAAGAGGCATCTGTTAGGTTAAAGGTTGGAAGTTCCTGGTCACTTGATCACCTTATTAGTTCTAGGTAGTGGTTAGCCAATACTGAGTCAGGAGGGGGTATAGCATCCCTCTGGCCAAGGCCCTGGCCCTTGTCCCAGCCCTGGTTGTGGGGGAAGAGGTGCATTTACCAGGCCCAAAGCATTTGGGTGAAATCAGCTAAATAGATATCACAAGCATTTCTATCTTTCATCCTTTTGACCCCAAAGCTTACTTCCTGTGTACATGGAATATTCCTGAAAGGTGTGGTGGGGATATGAAGCTAGTGAGGGAGGTAGTGGCCAGAGGACCAAGAAATCGTATTCCATCTTCAGTTATTTCTCTGTGAGCTCTTAATGCTTGAGGGTCACCCTGTTGGTTTACCCCTAGGCCTGGCTGGAGCCCATCTAGAGGCTGGAGTCCATATGCACAAGCTGTGTCTTAGGAAAGAACGGGTTCACCGGAGAGTACAGTTGTTTCAGGGAATAGTTCTGCTAGAACCTACTCCATTGCCCCCAAATCTGAAACCTATTCCCGTTACATGAAGAGGGCAAGACAGGGAACTTTGAGAAATTTAGACTTCCAGAAGGGAAGTGCAGGTCTATGTCCTAAGAAGAGCTGTGCTCATGAATAGTACTCATTTGGAGGTGTACTGTGGAGGGTTGTGAGGAGGATTCCTCAGAGGCTCTATCTACTGGCAGGAGGGAGAGATATAAATGAACCAAGGTTCGAAAAAAGTCTTCAGAGTCATTCCCTCTGCCACTCTTCACAAAGCCCAAGTCTTCAGACAGTAGTCATTTTTCTCATGGGCTATGGAAGAAGCTTCAGTGGCCCAAACGACAAGATGCTCTAGGGTCTTGCAAGTTCATAGGCTTTTCCCGATCTTGGAGAAGCTTCGCTAGGGGATCTTAGGCCTTTTACTTAACACTAACAAGCCACCAACTAAGACCCGCCCAACCTTGCAGCGCCGGACAAGCTCTCGGGCGGTCAGGCCTGCCACTCCTTTGCTTCCCCATCTCCCATTGGCCCCTGGGAAATCTAGGAGGCTTTTTTCCCCCGTAGACAGGGCGGGGCCCAATCAGGGGAGAGTTGGGTCTCTCTTAGCCTTTTTTTTTTTTTTTGCCCAATTCCAAGATGGCGCTCGTGGCCACGCTGGGAATACAGCGTGAAGCCTCAGGTCTGCCATTACTCAAGATGGCTGCCCCCATCAAGATGACCGGGGTGTGCCGGAGGGAAAGGGGCAACAGGGTGGTCTGACATGGTAAGGGATGCTGCTCCTTTATGATGCTAGACTTGGAACCTGGGAATGAAGAGTAGAGAGACTAGGAAGCTAGATGATGTCTGTGGTGAGGGCTAGGATTAAAGAATGGGAGAGAGGACAGGGGTGACAGGTGGGGGTGAGGGATCAAAGACCGGGCGGGAGTGTGCCTGGGGTTCAGTCTCCCCATCAGTATTATCTCCTCCAACTCTTTTTGTTCCAGGTCTAGCGTCGGACCATGTGGAAGTTTCTAGGACTGGGGCGTTGGATGATGGGGGTGGGGCCCGTGAGGGGTAGAGGGAGCAATAGCGTCCTTTCCTAGGCTAACCTCTGCCCCTCCCCGTCCTCTGGACTAAAATGGGGAATACATTGGGCCTGGCACCGATGGGGACTTTGCCCCGCCGGAGCCCCCGCCGAGAGGAACCTCTACCCAACCCTGGTAGGTTTGATGAGCTGCATCGGCTATGCAAAGGTGAGAACTTGGCATTTGGGTGTCTCAAGATGAAGGAGCAGATGAGGGGAGGGTCTTGAACGTGTCTGGTGATGAAAGCTGGAAAGGGGAGATCACAGCTGGGTATCCAGCGTTAGGGAGGATCGATCAGATGCCCAAGTGAAGTGGAGCATCTTGTTGCAGGACTTGGAAGGAGGTCAATTCCTCCAAGGTGCTTCCTATGGGATTCAGAGGGAAGACTACCTCTTGGGGTAGGGGTTCCTTGTCTGTGCTTATTCCTTCCCTTCCTCCCACCCCCTTCAGATGTATTCCCAGCACAGATGGAGGGAGTGAAGCTCGTTGTCAACAAGGTTCTGAGCAGCCATTTCCAGGTGCTCCCACTTCTCTGGCCCCTCCTCACTATCCCTCCTTGCCTCTCCCTGGGTCCTCTTCTCCTTTCCTTTGTACTCCAGCCTTAGCCAGGTTATTTGGGACAAATAAGGGAGGATGTGGGGGTCTCTTTACCTCCCTTGCCTGTGAAACTTGTTGCTTTCAATCTGGTGACCCACTTTATAGGTTGGAGTATTTGGGATTCTTAAGAGGCCTTCTGGATGGGGAGAAGATGTAAGGTGGGATAAGGGATTGAAATGGAGCAGGAATGCTCTCTTCTGCATTGAATCCTCTTTCTTCAGGTGGCTCACACAATACACATGAGTGCCCTGGGCTTGCCAGGCTATCACCTCCATGCGGCCTATGCAGGAGACTGGCAGCTTAGCCCCACTGAGGTGAGGACTCCACATACCTGGGTCATCTCCCTAAAAGCCCACGTAGGACCCAGGTCTGGAAGAGGAAGAAATGTGTATGTTACAGAGAAAAAAGGGTAGTAACCTGATTTTTTGTGCGTCTCTTCCGAATGGGAAAGAGCAGACAAACAGTTGTGTAAAGAGCCCAGCGTGTCTTTGTGCCTCCACTAGGGGGCGCAGAGTGCCGTTAAGGAAATCCTATATTAGGGTTTAGGCTGAGCGTTGCCACCCAGCTTAGCCTTACTGCTGTTTACCTTTCTACAGGTGTTCCCCACTGTGGTAGGGGATATGGACAGCAGTGGCAGCCTCAACGCCCAAGTCCTGCTTCTCTTGGCAGAGCGACTCCGAGCTAAGGCTGTCTTCCAGGTGACCCACAGTTCCTGCCTTCATCCGCTGAGGCACTTCCTCTTTCTTCCCAATGAGTTTCCTGCTCTGATGGAATGGGGAGAGGGGAGCAGAGGCCATAGTGATCATGAAAAGGGAGGGAGATTTTACTTCTTACTTTCCGCATTCAGACGCAGCAGGCCAAGTTCCTGACATGGCAGTTTGACGGAGAATATCGAGGAGATGACTACACAGCCACTCTGACCCTAGGAAATCCTGACCTGATTGGTGAATCAGGTGAGCAGTTGGGTGAGGGTTCTTTTTATCTTGGCTGCCCATTTGCTGATGTTGGATATGCTTCTTTGTCTTCTATACAGTTTGAGAATTAGGAAAGGAACTTCTTAGGTAGACTGGGGTAAGGGTTACCGGTGAGGGAGCAGGCTGGGATACTGTCTCTGTGACTGACTCATGTCTCCCTATCCCCCACAGTGATCATGGTCGCTCACTTCCTACAGAGCCTCACTCATCGGCTGGTGCTGGGTGGAGAGCTAGTGTATCACCGGAGGCCAGGTGAAGAGGGGGCCATCTTGACACTGGCTGGGAAATACTCAGGTATGGGGCAAAGTGGAGTAGTGGGGGAGGGAGGCAATTCTGGACTTTGCTGGGGTTCCTGGCCTATGTCCTGCTATAGTAACACTCCTTTCCTCCTTTGGTTTTTACAGCTGTACATTGGGTAGCTACGTTGAATGTGGGATCAGGAGGGGCCCATGCGAGTTATTACCACAGGGCAAATGAACAGGTGAGACCACTGATCTTATCCCCCAGTACAGAAAGTTGATTATGAACTTCTGCCCCTTTGGCCTTCCACAGGCCCTGCTGATTTAGTATTTTTCCTACTATGCTACGTATATATTTTCATGCATGCCCTCCTTCTGCAGATCCCCTGTCAGGACCCTTCTAGTCTTCACTGCCACTGATCCCTCTCATCCTTGGCCATGGTTCTCAGGTTCAGGTTGGAGTGGAGTTTGAGGCAAACACAAGGCTACAAGACACAACCTTCTCCTTTGGTTACCACCTGACTCTGCCCCAGGCCAACATGATGTTTAGAGGTGAGGGTCATTGCAACAATATTTGGATGTGCTAAGGGACTGGGGGTTACAGAGGGAGGCAAGCTCTACCTTATTTCTGCTGACTCCTTTCTCCAGGCTCTGTTAAATAATCCGGGTGGTATTCTCTCGCCCAACAGGCTTGGTGGATAGTAACTGGTGTGTAGGTGCTGTGCTGGAGAAGAAGATGCCCCCCCTGCCTGTCACCCTAGCCCTTGGAGCCTTCCTTAATCACTGGCGCAACAGATTCCACTGTGGCTTCAGCATCACTGTGGGCTGAGGTTGTCATAGAGCCTGTCCCCACAGCAGCTGGAACCTCTGAGTTAGGTGCCCTAGGGCCAGAGACTAGGCCCTTCTCCAGAGCCCACCTTGCTGGGTGACCTCTAGATCCGAGGAACAGAGTGGGGGACAAGACCATACTCTACTCAGAACTGGAGCTGCCATAGGGGCAGCTGACAAGGCAGTGGTTTGAGGCTCCAACCTCTACTACCAGCCCCACTATCATCTTCTCCATGTTCTTGTGGCTCAGAACTAAGGGGAGAGGATTAAGGGTATGTCTGGCTGAATTTCTCCCCTGCCCCACATTTTTCTTCATTTCCCTTTGGTTAATCCTGCATGGGATTAGCTTACTGCCCTGTTTCCCATCCCAAAGCCTCCCAAGGCTGGGAAAGTAGGGCTAAAGGGCCAAATCTCTGGCCTCAGAAAGCGGGGCCCACCCATTCCCACAAGGAGCTTCTTTACCTCTTACCCTGAGGCTTCCTCCTTCCCATCTTCTGTGCTTCCAGAGAACAAATTTATTCCCATGCTCACCCCCCACCACCCCCATGACCGCATGAAGAGGCAGTTATTGCTTTAGACTTTCATTGCAACCACTGGGCTCCCTTTCTACTGGGCCCAGTCTCTGGACCCAGCATTTTTCTCTTTCCAGTCCAGTGTGTCCCAGGTGAGCTGATGGTGGGGGGTGGTGGTGGGGGTGGTGAGCCTGGGCCTCAGCTGCAGATCTCCTGGAGCAGGGGCATCATGGCAGGCAATCCCTGGATGCGCTGGATTTGGTACCCAAATGCGTTGTTAACGCTCCGGAGCTCAGCTAATAGGCCCAGCAGCTTTGCATACAGAAACCTTTGGAGGAAGTAGTTGAGTCACCAGGAAAAGGGAGGGGAAGAAAGGCAGCTGGGAGGCTTATCTTGAGGCCCAGTTCCCTGAACTGCTCCTCAGTTAGATCTGAACAGTAGAGAAAAATCATGCACTAGTATGACAAATTTATAAAAGGTCCCAAAGGTCCCCCAGGAGGCCTCTGTCTGACACTGTTTTCTTTCATCATGCCCAGTTTCTCTTGAACCTAATGATCTGAGGGCCAAGTGTGAAGAAAGCCTCAGACTTAGCCAGAACATCAACGAAATGGAATCTGAGGGGCCAGCCTTCTAGATAGTACAGGTTCTAGAAGGTGGGTATGTTCTATGGTATAAAGTGTCCCCTGTCTAGCCAAACTGGCTCATGGAGGAAGTGGTGCATACCTCAAAGCCTGGAAAGATCATGGACTATTGAACCAGGAACTTGTTTGGAAATGAAAAATTGAAGGAATTGGCCCAATGGAGAGGAGAGGAAGGGCCTGGGGGAAAAGAATGAACATGACTCTTAAAAATCTGCTTTAGTCTGGAGAAGTTGGACTAATGAGGTGATGGCCATCATCAATCTCAGGAATGCTATTATACAAAGCCTGTGAGCTACTAATCTGCATCTCTACTGAATAAAAAATCTGGAAAAACTGAGATGAAATGCAATAAGAGCAATTTGGATGCTGGAACAATGTGAGATGGGGATGGTCAGAGGTAAGGGATAGTCCACAAGAGACCTGGTTTCCTAAAGGAAAAGACAGTAAAAAAACATTCCTCCCAAGCTCGGTGTTTTTCTGACCCCTTCCTGCCTCTATGTGGTCTACGCCCCCAGTTTCCTACCATACCGATTCCGGGGTTTTGGCTGCTGGCCCTTGATGTAGCTCTGCAGAGTCAGTGCCATCTCCTCTTGCAGCTGATCAATCTCCTCTCGCTGGGTAACTCCAGGCCGGTCTGTAACATAGGGAACTGGGAAGGACAAAGTAGGGGGAGGAGGAGGCCTGCACGGTGCCCTGGAGGCTGAGGCTGGCATAGACCTACTCTGCAGGTATGAAGGCTAAAAGGCCTGGGATGGATGGATTCAAGGAGCTGAGAGTTTGAGCAGAGATGGTGGAGCCAAAGTGTCTGGGCTTTGGGAGATGCTCACCGGGAGAGAAGAGGGCCATGGCAGCCAAGAGCACATACTCGGGCTTTTGGAGCTGCAGTCGCCGCAGCGTCCCATGGAAGTGAAAAAGCAACTCCAAAAACTCTACCTCGAACCCCACTGTGGGAGATACTAGTTTTAGGAGCCTCCAGGTCACCAGACCACATGCCATACCACAAAGACGCATGCCCGCTACTGCTCTAGCACTATCTTACCATGGGCTCCATCTTCCATTGTGTAGCGAAGAGGTCCACAGAGAAAGTTTTGTGTTTGGATACAGAAAGTGGGATTGATTGAGATGTGACAGATTTCCACAGCTGCTCCCTTGAGAAGGGAAATCTGGTCCTCCATGGGCAGAGACCTGTGGGGAGCAGCAGACAAGGGCAATTTAGATTCAAGCCTGAACTTCAGAAAGGGAGAGGAACTCCTAATCCACATCGTCATGATTAAAAACAAAACTGGGAAGTGGAGACCTGGCACTTGGAAAGACTGAGAGATGTATTAATTTTTGGTCAGTGACTTTTAGGGATGGGTCCATTGGTGGGTGAAAAATTTACTGAGGTATTTGCTTCCCAAAAGATGAGCAGAAGTCACTCACCGGAAGAGGGGCAGGTCTTTGGTGAACTTGATGACTTGCTGTACCATGAAAGTATTGATGTCTGCAAAGTGCCTGAGCAGAGGCAGTACAGGGACCAGGGTGGGTGAGGGCTGGTGAGGGATGAACAGGTAAGCTGGAGGCTGCAGAGATCAGAACACAAGTGAGGGGTCCTGGCCCAAGGGCCTCCCTTTAGGTCTCACCCACCTCTTAGGAGTTCTTGCTGAGGAGACTGTCCCAGCAGGGGTTCTGGAGCATGGTACACCACTCTCTACCTCAAGCCAGCCTCCTTTGGCACCCTTATGGTCATATTCAGTCCAAATCCTGTAAATGCTCACCCTGAAGTGCACAAAGTGTTCAGCTATGGAGCCCATGTGGCGAGTGTGGGCCCCTAGGAGTGTCTGGATCAGCTCTTCCTGCTCCTTACTCAGCTGCACAGTTTCTTGCTCGGCACGCCGCTGAGCCTGCTTCGCTCGCCGCAATGCCAGGGCTTCTGCTGACAGTATCACTGTGCCAAGCAAGAGGTATGACAAAGCTGTTGAGACCAGCAGACAGCACCTGTCTCTGCTAGTTTCTGACCCCAGGCCCCTCAGCTGCCCTGTACCATGAAAGATAGAGGTGGGAGGAGGGTTCCTGGGGCTTCCTTGGACTTGGCTGCAGTCCTAAAGGTACTGGGAGGCAGGGGATTCCTGCACACCTCCATGGACCTGTCAGGCACTGTAGCAGAAAACAGTGCACAAGGGAGAGAAGGGAAGGGGGAAAGAGTAAAGTGGGAAGATTGGGAGGAGATATTTTTGGCTTCTGGGGAACATTGAAGAGGACAGGGTCTTCTTACCCAAAACATCATCTTATGTTTGCACAGCATTATAATATGAAAGATCCTAAGGTTAAACCTCACTGGCTGAAACAACACTACGGTAGACAGGGCAAGTATTTATATTTTGCAGAAATATAAACAAGCTTAGTTTCTAATACCAGGTGCACAAAATAATGTAGATCGAATTCAAACCAAGATTTTCTTCTCTTTTTTTGAGATACAGTGTCACTCTGTCACCCTGGGTAGAGTGCCACAACATCATCATAGCTCACAGCTATCTCAAGCTCTTGGGATCCTCCTGCCTCAGCCTCCCAAGTAGCTGAGACTACAGGCACTGGCCACAATGCACAACTACTTTTTCTATTTTTATTTTATTTTTAAAGACAGAGCCTCACTTTGTCACCCTCAGTTGAGTGCCGTGGCATTGTAACACCCGACAACGTCAAACTCTTGGGCTCAAGCAATCCTCTTGCCTCAGCCTCCCCAGTAGCTGGGACTTTAGGTGCCCATCACAATGCCCAGCTACTTTTTAGAGATGGGGTCATGCTCGTGCTCAGGCTGGTCTCGAACTCCTGAGCTCAAGCAATCCACCTACCTCACCCTCCAAAAGTGCTAGGATTACAGGTGTGAGCCACCATGCCCTGGCCTTAAACCAAGATCTTTTGAACTCTACGGTTTCCTCTCTATTCCTCCATATTGAAAAGTACTATATCATGGAAAAAGGAAGAATTTGGGAGTCAGAATCAATTTTGAATACTGACTACTCAACTTTTAAGCTGAATGAGCCTGGACAAATTGACTTCTGTGAACTCCACTTACATTGTCTTTTGGGAGCACAGTCTAGTTTTCTGCCACAGAGAAAGCATTAAGTCTATTGTTATGTAATTGACAGACTCTATACTCAAGAAGCAGAAAAGAAAAAGCTAGCCATGTAAATATCCAGGAGAAGAACATTTCAGGTAGAGGGAAGAACAAGTGCAAAAGTCCTGGGAAAGAGTATGCTTGGTGTATTCAAAGATCGTATTAAAATTAGTGTGATTGAAATGGGCTGAGCAAGGGGAAAAGAGTAGGAAACAAAGTCTGAAAGGTGGTGTGGAGGAGCTAGACCCTGAGATTAGGCCTTTGAAATGGGGAACCATTGAGCAGAATAGTGACATAATCTGATTAATTTCCAAAAGTTTACTCTGCCTGTTATTTGAAGAATGCACTGTTGGGAATAAGGATAAAGCAGAGAGAGATAGTCATCGGATTTTTGGGATGGTAGGGGGCCAACTCAACTGTCTTTCCTCATGCCAGCATCTAGGCACTTCTGCAACCTGCAGGCTGGGCAGTGGCGCCTCTGGGCCTTACTGACCTCACAGCTTCCAGCAAAGAGGCAGGTAGGGCCAGTGCTTTTGCTGACTGTTCGTCTGTGAGAGACAGAGACAATTATTAGGGTCTGGGATGGCAGTGAACAGGCAGGTGGGTATGTGAGGGGCTGAGATAACATGGTGTAAAAGACCAGGAATCTGGAGACATGGGTTAATCTGAGCTGTGCCAAAGGTCCCCAGAGTTGGGTAGGGTCCTACACATCTCAAGCATCTCAAGCATTTCCGTCAGGACTTAGGGTCACGAGAGAAAGCCTAGTCAATATAGGACTAGGTTGGTGCTTTGCAGGTAGTGAGTGCATAATAAGTCCCCTTGACTAATGGGCTGTGTCTATCAGACAAACATTTGGGCTTCTGGTTATTATGCCACCAGTATATATAGTGTTGTGGTTGGCAAGATGTAGGGTGCTAGCCACAGGGTAGTTAGACTCTAAGATAGAGGAATAATGTAGCTAGACAAGCTCCAGCATGTGCCAGGGTTTTAAGGCTAATTGACAGGCAGTTTGGGGGACCGTCTCTATCGAGGAGTAGGCTTTCACCTGAAGAAACCCTTGCAGCCCTCACAAGTAAGGGCATGGAAGTGATAGCCTGTGGCTCGGTCTCCGCATACCACACAGTTCCTCAGCTCATCTTCCCCACTGGCCATGGCTTCAGGTGTTGAGGTGATCCCTGAATGTGGAAAGGGTTAGCACTTGACCCTCTTCTCTCCAACCTTCTTCTCTCCCTTTTGCAGAGCCTCTTCCCAAACCTGCCCTGGTCCCCAGCATTACCTGTACTCCACTGCGTTTAGTCTCTGGCCCCCAATGCACTTCCTACCTGCTTCTCTCAGGCAGCATATCATCTGTAGGCCACAGAATCTGCTATGGGATGCCCCTCCCCAAACTCCCACCTTGACCTGACTTTCCTTTTGATCTCAGGAGCTGTCAGTAGTTGGTGTTAGGGATTCCCTCAGTACCTGGAAAACAAGAGACTTCTGTGGTATTTGGCTTCCAGTAGCTTTCAGTGATGATGGAGTTAGGGCTCAGACCCTGGACTCAGGGCAAAGGCCTAGGTAGGAGGTTTTCCCAGCATGCCCAAGGTGCTGGTTGGTGGCACATGGGGAGGGACTTTTGTGGGCAGGGACTTTATGACTCATTAGAGGCTTAGATCTGTAGCCTCCTGTGTACTTGGATCCTGAACAGGCAGTGAAGTGAGAGAGAGACCCAGCCAGTGTTTTCATGTGCAGTATGTTGGTAGTAAAAGAAAAGGTGTAACAGTTGCACAAGTCTCCTAAAAGGAAAGTTCTTAAAAAGAGACGGGGCTCTAATTAAGAGCCTATGCAGGCTGGGCAAGGTGCCTTACCTCTGTAATCCTGGCATCTGGGGGGTCAAGCTGGGAGCTCAGAGTTCAAGATATCCAACCCGATCACACCTGTAATCCCAGCACTCTGGGAGGCCGAGGCAGGTAAATTTCTAGAGCTCAGGCGTTCCAGAGCAGCCTGAGTTAAGAGTGAGACCCTGTCTCTACTAAAAATAGAAAAACTAGCTGGGTGTCATGGTGGGCACCTGTAGTCTCAGTTACTGGAGAGGTTAAGGCAAGAGGATCACTTGAGCCCAGGATTTGAGGTTGCTGTGAACTATGATGATGCCACGGGACTCTACCTAGGGTGATACAGTAAGACTGTCTCACACACACACACACACACACACACACACAAAGAGCCTATGCAAGGGATTAGAAGGGACCTCACTTCCTAACTAGGGAAGATTGAGAATTAAATTGGAATGACCTCAGGGCACTGTGGCACATGGTGAGACAGGAGGAGAATCACTTGAGCCCAGGAGTTCGAGGCCAGCTTGGATAATATAGCAAGAATTTATCTCTAAAAAAAGAAGAAGAAAAGAGTAATATTTAAAGTAAACAAATCAGAATGACCTTTCCTTAATGGTAGAGTCGATTTGAGAACTCTTGCTTCAGAGCTGGCTCCACGGGCGTGTGACCTGTGTGTAGTTGCACAAGACACTTCATTCAGAGGGACCTTGTGTTTGCTCTCCTGTTGCTCTATTGAAAGGATGACTTTTAAACAAAAGGTCCTACATTTTCATTTTTCAGTGAGACCCCCAAATTATGTACCTAGTTCTATCTGGAGTCAATATGAAGAACTTGTAACTAGTAAGCTGAATAAGTTTAAGACTTGAGGCTCGGCTCGGCGCCTATAGCTCAACCGGCTAAGGCGCCAGCCACGTACACCTAAGGTGGCGGGTTCGAATCCCCAGCCCGGACCCGCCAAACAAC